CATCATCAAGCCACCCATCAACACCAACCCCAATATGATCCACATAAACCGAAATTACACCATCTGTTCCATAAGCATAAAAAATAAAAGCAACATATTCCACATCATCTGAAATGGGATTTAGCCCTTCCATCAAGGAATTGACTGGTTCACAGTAGTAAAACTTTTTACACTCTTCATGCATGAAACGTTCGAAGAAGTTCACAAACTCATAATAAGTCATAGAAGAAAAGTCAACATAAGTGAACATGGTTTTCACACCACCGGTGTAAGAGAAAGGATTTCGATTAAATACCCCTTGGTAGTTCAGTTCCACCATCTCAAACAATCCATTAGGTTCCGATTGTGCCATTGCTGCGACTACTTTGTTTCTTCAGCTCGATCACCTGAATGCTTCAAAAACCCTAACTCGGTTTCTTTTACAGCTGATTAATGAAGACGACTGAAGTTCGATAGTTGAAGACGATAGGATTTAAGCTTCTTATATCATTAATTGACGTGACATATCTCACGTGGCATTGGATTAGACAAAAAATATATATTAATTCACATATATTAAAGGTCAACCGAGAAACCTTCTAAAACTTGATAAAATGGTGTAATTAAAAGGTCACTTACGAGTTTACTGGCCTTATGTACCAAAAAAAAAACTTTAATAATCAAATTAGCCGATTGAAGAAAGTTCCATGTGCAGTGACATTATCCCTTTAATGAAACCAAATTTTAGCAATTTACTCGATAATAAATAAAAGGTTGGTAGTTGGTTAGTGGGTTGAAGGTCCGGCCCGTTTGGCGGGTCAACAACAATCCTTATCGGAACTTTGGGAGACCGCATAATCATTTTCAGTCAAACACATTCTTGGTCTACGTCGACTCCACATCATTCATTCCCTCTGTGACCTTCGCCTAATTCAAGTGTCCACCGTCATGAACAACATCATCATCATCATCTAGGGAGGTAAGATTAATTCTGTAGAAAGGTTTATTGACTTTGTTTCTATCGAGCGTCCAGTAATCAGGTTTTTTTTCTTGATTATTCTCTTACGTCCTTTGATTACTATAATTGTTATAGTTTATTCAGTGGTATATACGGATCTGAAGTCTCTTTAGTGAAATTTAGATTCAATGAGATTAGGAATTTCTTGTGATAATGGATAGAATTTTGTGATTTGGTTTCATGGATTTAGTTAGTCTTGGAAATCTGGATTCGATGTCGAAATTGTTCCTGTGTTACTTTTTTTTTTATTTGTTTTTTCTCTTCATTTTCGTCCTATGACTTCTCTACAAAACTTACCGTTATTCCACAGAAAAAAAAACATGATTGTATTTGTGATAGACAGTATAAAATAGGGACGCCAGCAGTTTTGTGTGTTGATTAAAGCTCAATCCGAAATTAAGGCTGTAATTAAACTGGATCCATCTATTAGTTTCATATGTTCCAAAATAGGAGTCCTTTAGCAAATGTTCAGAAGATCAAGGACCCATGCAGTTATGAGTGGTGAACTTAAACGCTTTGTATCTTTTACTCCAAATATAATATATGTTTTGGGGAAGAAATGAAAATTCAGATATTAGTAGTATTATGAGTTTGGAGTTTGTTTTATCTGAAATTGATGCTTCTATCACTCAACAGGGTAAGATTAAGAATATCACTAATGTTTAACTTGGATGACAACAGTTCACTGATAGTTAGAACAAAGTTACTTGTTGTGCATGTAACTATTTGCTACAAATTGTTATCGTAGTTATGCTTGGGAATCTTCATGTCACAGCTTTTTTATTGAGTTCACATGCTGTATTTATACAAATCCGAATTATGTATAAGCTCTTTTAGTGAACAAATGTCTGTATGGCTAAAGTCTAAACCACATTTAGGTTATATAAGTTATATAAAATAAGATTAAAGCAAGGATCTATAAGCTTTCCTCTCTCTTCTACAACTTTTTATGACAAAACTCAAATTCCTTTCGTCTTCTATTCTGCTTGCAAGTGGGGAAGAAACTTATTCTTACTTTATGAAAGAAAAAGGCTATATATACACAGGGGTGGTTTTGTAATTATAAAAAAATTTAGTGTTCATCTCTTCTTTTCTTATCTCCATTACATTTTGGGAAGTAAGTTGTGAAAGGAAAGTGCTCAGATATTCTTTTTTTCTTAAAAACTTATAGACAAGGGAATTTGAGCTTTATCTCTTCTGTTTCTGTGATAGTGGCCTGTTCTTGTCAATATCCATACATATTACATTCCATCATTCTTGTTGTTTCCTTTTAAGCATACTTTTACTTAATTATCAATTCCATATTTTCTTCTTTCTATCAGATATTCCTCTATATCTTTGTATAGATAAAGTTTCACACGGGTAGTAGTCTCCATATTCACTTTGTTTGGCAAGAAATTGTTATACACACGAAAAGAATCTTTTCAGACACAGGGTATATCTAATCTACTATTTCAGAATAAACGCTGCACCTTCCTTATATGATATATATTCCTTTTTTCGTTTATCATTACAAATCAAAAGTTGAAAAAACCAACTACACCTGATACCTAAATTTCATCAACAAAAAGATAAAACAACCATCTTACCCTTACACTATACAAATGCAGAATACTTTTGGTTTTTGGATTTGAGATTCTAATTCTACACAAGCAATGTCAAGTGGCAACAATACACATTGGTGTTACCAATGCCAGCAACCGGTCCGGCTCCAGGGCCGTAACCCAGTGTGCCTGTACTGCTCCGGTGGGTTCGTGCAAGAACTGAGCGAAGTGGTCGAGCCCGGTCCACAAGACATCGGGACCGGGCCCGCGCACGAACCGTCCGGGTACGGTTTTATGGAACCGTACCCGGACCCTAGGAACAGAGTCATGGATGCTTTTGCTGAATTAATCAGACAAAGAATGTCTGGAAGAAACCCTAATTTTGATGTTAGAAGAAGATCCGAACAGAGTCATGGTGTGGTTCCATGGTTCATATTTGACGGTCAAGCCCCGGCTCGGATGTCGGCTAATGACCGGTTCGAGTTCTTTTTTAACGGTGCACCACCGGGCCCACGGCGGTCTAATGTTAGTAACATTTTCATGGGGCCCGGGTTGCAGGAACTGATTGAACAGCTTACGGTTAATGGTGGTGGTGGGGGTAGTCAGGGACCACCACCAGCAACCCGGTCAGCGATTGATTCTATGCCAACTATTCGGATTAGTAATAGACATTTGAACACGGATTCTCATTGTCCGGTTTGTAAAGATAAGTTTGAGTTAGGATCGGAGGCTAGGCAAATGCCGTGTAACCATATTTATCATTCTGGTTGTATTGAACCGTGGTTGGTTCAGCATAATTCTTGCCCGGTTTGTCGGGTGGAGTTGCCGGCTCATGGGACGAGTAGGGGAAGCAGCAGTGGTGGTGGTGGTGGTGGAGGGGAGGAGAGTGGCGGACATGGGCGGGGACGGAGGAATCCGTTATCGTTTTTGTGGCCTTTTCGCTCGTGAAAGTGGAAGTGAAACGAAACAAGCAAGTGATTTGTCTGATATAGTTAAGTTTTGTTGTATGTGTTGGTGTTGGTTTTGGGTGTTTTGTATGTGTATGTTTGGTTGCAATATATTATAATAATATGATAATATGAAATGTTAAACTTAATCACATCTTCACATGTGTTGTGTATGTAAATATGGTCATAAATATTTCCTTTCCCAGAGCTGAAAGTGCAAAATCTACAGCTTGTACTTGGTGCAATTGAACTTGAGATATTTTTGAAACAAACAAACCTGATAATGGGTCGTTAAGATTATCTAAATTTCTTAATATAAATCTACAAATACATTCTTAAGCTTTGATTTAATTTTTATATATTAAAAAACTGATCTCCAAATATGTAAAGAAACTAAGGTCACCCGCACGATGCATCAGAAACCTTGTAAAGGATTCAATGGTAAAAAATAGAAACGTACTTTTCAGTTGATATTATGAAATTTGATTGGATGTATAATTGTGAGTTTTAAATTATTTTGTTAGTTTATGTTTTTAATTTGATATTTTATTTGAATAAACAAGAAATTAGTTGAATTATGTATTTTGGTGATATTTTGTATTGAAATAAATTACCAAGAACAACAATAGTAAACAAATGCAGTTAGTTTCAAATCAAATGATATTTAGGGTATAAGTTCAATGAAAAATGGCATACAAATTTTTTTTTTTTTTTTTTTTAGTGGATTTGAATACAATTGTTAATGGCTTTTAATAATGATATAATGAAAACAAATATATATAACGATACAGAAATATGTGATGTATATTTAGATTGAGCCAAATTTATATTATTATAAAAAAATAAAATTATACGGTCTCAAACATGTATTCAGATTTTATACCAAGCATTTCTTAATAAGAGTAATGATAGAAAATCAAAAAATCAGGTTATGTATCTCGAATTAATTATAAAGATAAAAAAACACATATATTAAAAGAGTAATAAAGTTATTATTTATATAATTGTATAACTAAAAATAATAAAGTTCAATGATATATCTAACTTTATACCGAATATTATGTGATAAAAATTACATATGGCCACTCATTGTACATAGGTGCTCGAGCTAAAGATTTTGAGAAATTTATCGGTCCTTTTTTTTGGTATCTAATGAATTTAACATGAACAGAAATTTATATATCTATTATAAAAGATAATAGATATCATTTTCAGTGAATCGTTTGTTTGAAATCCTTATCTCTTCATTTTCTGTTAATTAACAACTCAACAACTCAAGATTCTCTTTAACTTGTATCTTCAACCAAAACTGCCACAACTCTTCAGCTTTTACATTTTGATTTTTTTTTTCTCTTTAAACCAAATAGTTTCTGCACAACTAAGTAAAGAATATTCAGAAATAAGGTTTTCGCCTGGTTTTTTATGTCGTTCATTTGTCTTAATTTTTTCTTTCATTTTGCCAAACATGCTATCATTTTAGTATATACTTTTAAACACCATTTATCCATACAATAATGTTTTGACACACATTTACAAGTGACAATATAAACTTTTACGTCATACAAGTGTAAAACTATTCCAAACACAAAAACATGATTTCTTTAGAAACACTGGCTTCAGTGGTAACATCCATACTTGAAGTTGAATACAAGTCCAAATTCCTTAGGAATGCTTGTTTGCTCGATTAAAAACAGATAGGGATTAACACAAATTTTAATTCTATACCTCTGTAACCAAACGATTTTTTTAATGGTAACCCACAGGCGCTGGAGCCTCCCTCAGTTCCTTACCTTGGAAATGGATGTCCTGCAACATTAACAAACTGTTGTCAAAATTCATGTTACTGTATGAGGAGGAGGGCATT